ATCTCTGAGTTTAACATCCTTGGTCTTCACTTTGTTAGTGAACATGCAGAACACGTTTTATAAGTACGTGCATTTCCCTTGTTCAGGTTAACGACCCAGATGGTTCTATGTACTCATTCATGCAATTGTTTTTACTTGTAGCAACAACCCCCCCAAAAAAAAAAAAATAAATGAATAAATATTTTAAAAAATATTTTAAAAAATAAATAAATAAATGAATAAATATTTAAACATATTAAAAAAAAAGAAATAAATAAAATAAAATAAAATAAAAATTAAATTTAAAAAAAAAGACAATAATACAATAAAATGACCCCCCCCCCCCTTTTCCCCAACCACATAACACTTTTTCGGCCTGAAGCATCGGTATCAAACACAGAAAACAAAACAACTTCTCAACCTGAAGGCCAACATCATCATATCCCAAGACCATGAAAGTTTTATACGACGTAACCGAATGTAATATTTAGAAAACTTTAGCGCCCCCCCCCCTCCCCACCAGGAACACAATGGACATAATACGCACATTCAGACTCTTCATTCTCTGTGAGTCGTTATTGTGACGACGTGTTGCTAGAAAAACGCGTGTAACGTATGAGGAGAATGAGAGGAAAAGGGCAGGAGAAAAAAAAGGGGGGGGGGGGGGGGGGCGGGGGGTGGAGGGTTATTGAAAAACTCTGTTTAAAATTCTTGTTGTGGCGACAACAAGCAGCAGATAATAACACGACAGCCTTGAACAGCTTTTGAACAGCTTTCGATTTGAATAATGTACAACATGCCGACCCTGTCCGGTTTGCAGAACGTTTAAGCAACTGCTTCTGCCGTCGCCCTCCTCCCCCTTCCGCACACATACATACACACACACACACACACACACACACACACACACACACACACACACACACACATATACATACATACACACACACACACACACACACATACATACACACACACATACGCACGCACGCGCGCGCATACACACACACACGCACACACACACACACACACACACACACATACACGAGGCGAGAAGCAGAAGCTACGGCAGTTGGCATGCGTGGGTCAGCACAGTGACCTGACATGACCTCCGGGGCGGCCTGGGCGAGTCCATGACGTGGTTCTGACGGGGAGGTCAGGGGGTGTGAGGCCCAGAGACTGTGAGGGGAGGGGGACTGGGGAGGTGGGAGGGGTGAGGTCGGGAAACTGGCGACGTGACGCTCAGCTTGTGACGTGGCAGCATGACGCAGCCATGTTTGATGGGGATTTGTTGGTGGGAAAGTAGAGACTAATTTATGCTCTGAAAACAGAGATTGGATTTTAAAATTTAAAAAGAAATAGCCTTGGATGTTGATGATTTATTATTATTATTATTATTATTATTATTATTATTATTATTATTATTATTATTAATATCACCATCATCCTCATTATTGTCTCCACTAATTTTAAGCATTTTCAATCTTCGAGCCGCCATCAGTATGAACTGCTGCTGCTGCTGATGATGATGATGACGATGATGATGTTGAAGATGATGATCGGTGTGCAACAACTGAGAAGTCACTGTGTAACCGGCATTTTCAGACAAGCATTGGTCTAATAAGAATTAGCCATATGCGCCATCATGACATACTACATGTATGGTATATGGAACTCCGGTACAAACTCAGTCGCCTGTTGGGATGGTACATTGGGCTCTATGAGATGTACTGTACTGATGTTTATTTGTTTGAGTAACGAGAAGCACATCGACATAATTAATGATCATTAATTTAGTGGTGGGGAAAAAATAAGCCAGCCTGACAGAAACAGCAGACGGAAAGTAAAGAAGTAGGACCTACCAGTGGCACCCTCCAACCACACGCTAGAGATGTACTGATTGCTACGGTCATGATAATCCTAATAAAAATACTACAGATAGTAGAAGTAGTAGTAGTAGTAGTAGTAGTAGTAGTAGTAGTAGTAGTAGTAGTAGTAGTCCATAGAAAGGACCTTCGTCATTTGAAGGCAGGCTGCTCTGTCTGCCACATCTGGACAGCCCACCTCAAAATGACGTAGATTTACGTACTTTCGATAGAAGCGGAAAACCAAGTTTAAAGTAAATTGAAGAGGAAAGATAATCGGTGATGTGATGTCGAGCAAAACTTGGACTCCAGATTTTACCTACCATAGGATCAGTGCTGTGGCTGAAAGACAGCGGTAATAGGAAACAAAGAGTAGCAGTGGAAAGGCTGCAGAAAGAGTCGCGAGCCGACAGGAAGTGGAGGGGGGAGGGGCAGAAAGTGGAGACGAAAGCAGACGACAAAACTTGGTTAGAGGGAAGGAAGGAAGCTCAAAGGAGAACATTTTTTAGAAAAAAATATTCCGTTGCTGTAACGTTTCGAATCTGGGACCTATTGAATGAGAAGCGAACACCGTAACCTCTAGACCATGAGAGCCACCTGACCCCAACTATAATCAAACTTGATGCTACAAACTTCAAAATGAAGGTAGAGCAGTTCACAGTTTAGTTTCAACAAAACTCTTCAAACTGACGATTGTTTCACAAACTTGTTCCCCCAATTCAAATCCCCGTTCCCAATATCCGTACCTAAAGAAAGAAGAACATAATGACAATTCAGTACGCTTCGACGAAGGAAATATAAAAAACATTAAATAAATAGTTGACTCTGACAAATAAATAATTCTGAAACTGTTGTAACCTCAGGGAAAGGCGCCCAGAAGTGTGTGTGTGTGTGTGTGTGTGTGTGTGTGTGTGTGTGTGTGTCTGTGTATGTGTGTGTGTGTGTGGAGAATGGGGAGGCGGGAATAAAAGGGGTGGGGGGAGGTGGTAGTAGTTAAATTCAACCCAATTCTAAAGGTCAGTCTTTCTTGAGCGTTCCGAGACCGTCATTGTCTTTTTTATTGTGATGAGTTATCGAACTTTATCCCCAGTACTTCCCGAAAGAACTACTTCCGCACTGCTAGGGCATGCCGGGACTTCAAGCTGGCGTGGCATGGTGATGCGCGCACAATTATTATGCGCATACTGCATGACGCACTGTGTTTCTGGAAATGATTGGGGTCAGTGTATAATTGGTCACCGTAGGGCTAAGACTTAGAGTCAATCCATTCTGGACTTGGCACTAGGTGCAATGACTCTCAATGACATTGGTGGGGCCCTGACTGTGGGGAAAACAAACTGTCGATGGTTCACAGTTACTGGGTTGGAGGGGGGGGGTAGGAGGAAGAGGGGCACGCCTCTGTGAGTGTGTGTGTGTGTGTGTGTGTGTGTGTGTGTGTGTGTATGTGTGTGTGTGTGTGTGTGTGTGTGCGTGTGTGTTATGCAGCTGACTGGTTTCCTGATCCATATCCAATCATTCCCCACCGCCTTGTTCCCTTTTCATCTTCGACTGCGCTCTATTTTGTTCACCT